ACCCTAGATTTTCTGGTTCAGCCTTATAGATCTGCTGTTACAGACTAACCGCTGTACCTGGACCAGTGTGTAGACCTAGACCTACACGCTGACTCGGACACACTCTAGCAAGCGTCCTACCTTTAACTGTTTGGCAAAGCTTCCCTCTCTCTCTCTCTCTCTCTCTCTCTCTCTCTCTCTCTCTCTCTCTCTCTCTCTCTCTCTCTCTCTCTCCATCCCCCCCCCAACCCCACCCACCACAAACACACACACACAGCCTCTATATTTCCTCACAGAGTCACAGTCTCAGGGAATACTCACACTTGGACTTTTTGGGATGAGCTCTGGACATGATTGTGGTCCAATACATCCAGTTGTGACTGTGATTGCAGCCAGATACATCCAGGAAAGTCCTAGTGCGAGTATGCCCTAAATCACTTTAATATCGCATTCAAACAGACAGATATGTGATGCTTAACGATTGCATTCTGCATCTCAACTTACCTTCTCCACACATGAGGCTCCACCTCAAGCCTCTTTCGCATGTACAACCTCAATGGCCTGCTTGCCTTCTCCCTCCTGCCTCCCTCTCTCTAATCCTCCTCTCTACACCACACCATTCCCCAACAGCGAGAATGGGAGAGAGAGAGAGACAGACAGACAGACAGGCACACACACACACACACAAAAAAAAAAAAAAAAAGAAAAAAAAAAAGAAAGAAAAAGAGAGAGAGAGAGAGAGAAAGATGGAGAGGGGGAGAGAGGGAGAGAGAGACAGAGAGAGAGAATCACTTGTCTCACCTAGACATACTGGTTGTTGCTTGCTGGCATGGAGTCCTCGGATCAATCAGAATGGGATGATCGGCTCCTGTGACATGTGGCCAATGACCTGTTGGGAAACCAATTTACCAAGCACAGGGAAACGGAATCTAAGCTCAGGAGTTGCCTGTCGAGTTCCAGAAATACAGAGCAGTAAATTTTTTTCACCCGGGGTAATCACCTAGGACAGGGAAAAGAAATGAGCTCAGGAGAGGGATGGTGCTGGACAGTTATTTCATTGTTGTGCAGACTGTCATGACCGCATTCATCCCTCACAGCGACCCCACGCCGACACGGCCTCCGGAACCCATGGAAAGGTCATTCGACTTATTTATCACCGTTATAAAAATCTCAATTTCGGCGATTAGTAGGCATCAAGAAACAGGACAACATCCTTACGCCTGTCAGGTAGCAAAATTTGTTATTGTTATAGAGGATGACGGCAACATTAATACATCATTTTAAATTGTAACTATTGAAGCATTCATCATCGTTTTCGGGAGCAACTCAGATCGTTCGATGAAAACATATTTGCGAGGAATGAGCCCTCGCGGGGCCCTTGTCAATCATGCACATGTTCTGGGCAGAGCCCCCCAGCAAGCCAAGTGCCTGCCCTAAGTGAAGGCGGGCCTGAATATTCACTAAAGGCCAAAATTCGACATTTTTCATATGTGGGTACTCAGGCTGTTGCAGGCTGCCAGTTGGTTGAGTGGATGTGTGAGACTCCCTAAGCTGCGCCGTACAGTTAGGCTCAGCCCTTCGCAGTTACACCTGGGCACATACACACAATGCAGGGTCGATAGACTCAATACATCACGAAGGGGCTACAGACCTACGCAAAAGCAGCACTGTCGACGTACATACCCCGGGTCCTGTGCAAATTCAGGCAACATCCCAAGTCTGGAGACTCAGGCCGTGCCCGCCTGTAAAGGGCCCAGGCCCTCAACTGTAGCACTGGGCCTGGGCGCAGGCACTGGGGCCCAGCCGGAAGCTACTGGAAGCTTCCAGCCAGGCCACACGCAACCAAGCAGAGGCTGCCACTTCCATATAGGAAGAAAGGCAGCCAGGGTCTGGCATTCTGGCCNCTACTGGAAGCTTCCAGCCAGGCCACACGCAACCAAGCAGAGGCTGCCACTTCCATATAGGAAGAAAGGCAGCCAGGGTCTGGCATTCTGGCCCACACAGGCAATGCGGTCAAGCGGCTGTGCTGCTGCGTTTGAGGCTGCGTGCTGCGCTGAGGCCAGGGCGCGTGCGGGTGCGTGTGAGGTGAAGAGGGGTCCTGCTGGGCAGCGGAGCGCAAGCAGCCATAGCCGGGCTGCAAGACACTAGGGGCGGAGAGGGCAATCGGTGGTCTTTAGGAAGGAGGCGAGTGTGGGTGGACAAGGTCTGATGAGGGGATAAGAGATACGTACCTGGTGCACGGAGAGGTCGGCTATGGTGTTGGCGTCATGTACACTGGTCTTTGAGAGTCGAAGTGAGCCTGTTGCGAGAATGCTGATGTAGGTAGGATAGTTGAGTAGTGTAAGCTGGGCGTTGGGCGCCAGACAGAGAGGAGCGACTTTGGATACTGTGTTGGTGTGGCCTGAGGGCTTGGACATTGGCTCATTACTCCATTGTATTGCCCTTATATGGATGGAATCTCGGTGCATTTGTACTCTCTGCTTGGACACGACTACCTGGACATCTGTGTGATTTCGCAACTTGGCTTATTGTATATCGTTCCAACTCATATTCCTTGCAATTTGGTATTGGAGCTGGTTCGTGATCGCCACTTACCTGGCGCTGGCGACATTGTTACTTGGTGCGCTGACGATGCTTTTGAGCAGTAAGGATACTTTGACGCTGGCTTGTTGAAGCGGGACCCACGTAGAGGGGTCGCCCGCTGGAAGGCTGTGGCGACAGCGTGGGAGCTGTGGCAACAGCGGATGTATGTATGATGATGAGAGCATGCTGATGTGGCATTTTGGCTGAGGTGGCACTGCATTGTGCTGTGGGTGGTACCGAGGCTATGACCAGTCATCGAAATGCAGGTCGGCTCAATGGGTGAGAAATCTGTGGTTGGGTGCAGCTATCTCCAGGTTCGCTGTTCCCTTACCTTATCTACCCTCTCAATCTCTTCTTACTGTGAGGAAGTGAGCCCAACCTTGAGTGTCCTCTCTTTTGTGTGAGGAGTCGTGAACGCTCTACCTTGAGAGACGACATTCTTCTCGGTGGCGCATCTGGCAGGAGAGGGCGGTGCCTCTGAAGGGCCCTGGTCGAAGCACGGGTCACGTTCACCATGCCAACCCATGGGAGTAGTACACGCAGGTGATGCTGCTTTGTCCATTAAGGCTCTTTGGTGCGCTGATAGAAGGGGTGTGCGGACTGACCAGTCCTAGTCCTATGCAGACGCAAACCAGACCGTCTATAAATATTTCTGGTGGGTGTCTGATCTGTCCACTGGCTGTGATCGTTCTCCTAACTGCGACGTTTAATAATTCCTGAGCACCGTGGGGCCTGTCCTTAAACTGCCTCTTGATCAGCCAGATCAGTCAGACGTAAGGCTCGTTGCACGCGAGGGTAAAGAACGGGCAGACTCGTCATAAGCATACACCTTGGGCACAGGGGTGGGCCGCTAATGCACACCTTAGACACTGCCGCTTGATGATGCCTGCAGGTACGTTGGATACAGGGGAGGAAGATTCCAATTGAGACTCAACTGTAAGACACAATTGGACCCCTTGTGCATACATCTGCCCACTTAGTCTATTTTTATTTTGATTAGTTGGTTGAATGACTGCTGACACCTCACAGACAGCCTAGAGTAGGACTGTAATGTTCTACCATAGTCAGTTCTTCTCAAAGCTTCTGTAAGCGAACTAATCAGAGTAGGAGTAGAATATGTGTACAGTCTGTGTAAACGCTGTTGATACTGCTTGAATGGTAGTCCAGGTAATTCACCGGATATTATTTTTATTTTTATTTATTTTAAGAACCGGTCAGACGCCTGCTGCGGTAGGTTCCAGAGTGGACACTAGTGCAGTCAGTGTCTGCCTAGCCAATGAGTGGATCAGAGGGTGGTGAAGGTACAGCTGACGACCGAAGGCAGACCAGGCGTGATACGTTTACGGTACCTGTAGTGTTCCAGGTCCTGCTACCATGAGAAGAAAGAAGGCTAACGGCCGAAGCAAGGGCCCGTAATCTTGAGATTGCCAGGGAAGCAGCAGCAGTTGTAGAGAGGACGTTAGCAGCAGCAGAAGCTAGCGCAGTAGCAATGGCTACCTCTGCAGCAACATCTGCAGCAACATCTGCAGCAACCTCGTCTGGTCAGCAGACGAGCGCACAATACATCTCCAGTACATCAGGAGTTCGCACTAGTCAGATGGCGGGCTCGCAGTACAGCTCAGCGCCTCCACTTACCAGGGACCGATGGAGCTCCGGCAAGTAGAGAGGATCCGCATAAGGCCAGCGGAGGAACTTGAGAAGGCTACCGAAACGGAAAACGAGATTAGAAGTAGAAGTGTCAGACTGGAGAGTAGGGCGGCTGACAAAGCTACTTTAGAAGGGTTAGATGACTCGGCCCTGGACAACAACATGAAGATCGTCAAGGTGAGCATCCTGTCCATCCATGCATACATGGACAGCAAACTGGACACTATCCAGGACACCCTGGACCAGATCATGAATGCCCTGCACAGGCCAGGAGTCAGGCCAGAAGTTTTGCCATCGCTGCCATTCTCAGCGATGACATGCCCGTATCCGCCTCAGTCCGGTACAACGCCAAACGGTACATCAGCAGCAGCAGTGCAGACTGCTGTTTCTTCATCTTCTGGTCCAGCAGCTGGAGCTACACCACAGCCGCCACCAGTCCCGCCAGCGGGACAGCAACAACCTTGGTACCCCAAGACCCCACTGAACCACCCCCAACCTTCACAGGAGTCAGGCCCGAAGTTTTGCCATCGCTGCCATTCTCAGCGATGACAGGCCCATACCCGCCTCAGTCTGGTACAACGCCAAACGGTACATCAGCAGCAGCAGTGCAGACTGCTGTTTCTTCATCGTCTGGTCGAGCGGTTGGAGCTACACCACAACCGCCACATGTCCCGCCAGTGGGACAGCAACAACCTTGGTACCCCAAGACCCCACTGAAACCACCCCCAACCTTCTCATGAGATAAGAAGGATGAGGCTCTCGACACTTGTTTGAGAACGGTGCCACTGTGGGTGAGGGCGAAAAGGACGTTGGTAGAGGACGAAGTGATAAATGCTGCATTATATTTAGAGGGATCAGCAGCTCACTGGTTAAATGGATTGGTAGCCTCAAAGGGGTTTGGCAGGAACATGGGTGATTCGGCTCAGACCCACACCCTAGAGAGCTTTATGGATTTGGTGAAAGCGCGATGGCACAACCCACATCAGGCACAGATTGCCACTAATGGGTTGCTGAAACTTGATGCTAGAAAGTACAAGTCCGTGCGCGAGCTCACCTTTGCCGCAGAGCGATCCACAGGTCTTGTTGACCATGTTCTTGAGGTGTCTTCCCACAGGCATCAAGAACTTATTAGCTAGCGAGGCTCGACTAGAGTATCACACCTTTGAGACCTTTAGCAAGAGGGCCTTAGATTTGGAGGCTACGCCAGGAGGTGCTCAGGCCCCTTCTACGGACGGAAGAAAGAAGAAGAGTCCACAAGAATGGAAGAAGAAGGGGAGTCGATTGATGATGGTCGAGGCCGATGGTACTCAGACCGAGATCGAGGATTTCTCAGATCTTGTGGACGATACAGAAATAGACGGCGAGGATGACGTTGAGGGTAGCAACCTCGCTGCAGTAGTAAAGGGCAAGGCAGCTGGTCGTGGTAAGGGCGGTCAGCAGAGGAGTCGGGGGCAAACCCCAAACCCGCACAAGATAGCGGTCTGGGTTTGAGCAGGTTTGGATCAAGATGTGTGGTGGGACCGTTATACGCGGGGTGCTTGCATTAATTAACGGCCGCGAGTATGGCCATCAGCAGTTTAAATGGAAGAACGCAAAGGTCCCGCAGAAGATACCACTGAAAGGTGGGATTCCTTCTTCCTAGAGTGGTGCCTCTACGAG